GTGCCGGTCCCTTCAAGTGTTCCCAGCCCCTGTAGCCGAGGCCTCAGTGCCGGGGCTTAGTGGTGGCCTTGGCAGGGCTGGGGGACGGCAGGACTCAATCTTAATGGTCTTTTCCAACCTGGTTGATTCCACGATTCTGTATTTACAAGTGTCTCAGCAGGGAGATACCATCAATTCCATGAATTTTTCCTTTAAAAGTCCAAGTTTCCCAATATCTGCAGAAGAACCTCAGTTAAGAATGACCCCTTGGGTCAGACATCACCCAGCTCACCCCAACTTACATAATCTTCAAACTTGGTGATCTCCTCCTCCAGGATGTCTGTTCCAACTTTGTCATCTTCCACCACACACTGGATTTGGAGCTTCTTAATGCCGTAACCTACTGGGACCAGTTTGGAGGCTCCCCACACCAGCCCGTCCATGTGGATGGACCGAACACACTCCTCCATCTTTGCCATGTCAGTCTCATCGTCCCACTGCAAAAGCATGAAGAAGGAACTTTAGGGTTCTCTTAGAGATCATCATCAGCCTCCAAGTGATTGATTCAACATCTCACCTCTCAGTATGTTTCAGCTGATCCAAGTGGCCTTTTCTTGGCCGCTATTTTCACTACAACTGGGGTTAGCAAAGCTAAAGCTGACTTTGCTGCAGAGCATCTTCAGTTCTAGCTACAGGCACTACTACAGTTGTGAGAAGGGTTCTCCCTGCAGCAACACAACTGCTTTGGAGTGCTCACTTTAAAGCAGCTTGTACCAAGTGTGTAGCACAGTCCAGAGTTTTTGTTCTACCATGATAGTTTGACAAAGATGGGGTTATCCCTGGAAAGGGGCTTTGGACAAGGGCCTGTAGGGACAGGCCAAGGGGAATGGCTTGAACCTGCCAGAGGGGAGACTGAGATGAGCTCTTGGGCAGCAGCTCTTCCCTGTGAGGGTGCTGAGGCGCTGGCACAGGGTGCCCAGAGAAGCTGTGGCTGCCCCATCCCTGGCAGTGTTCAAGGCCAGGTTGGACACAGGGGCTTGGAGCAACCTGCTCTAGTGGAAGGTGTCCCTGCTTGGGGCAGGGGTTGGAGCTGGAGGAGCTTTAAGGTCCCCCAACCCAAACTATTCTATAATTCCCATCTTACAGCATTTATTACCTGGTATTCCTTCAGGGAAAAGGGCTAATCCCAGTTAGGGGAACCTCAGATCCCAGCCTGCACTTGCCATGGTGCAACACAGCAGCGCAAAGGCTTCAATATCCCACCTCACTCCACCCCCTGGTTTGGAAACCCTCAATCTTCACCAGTCCACTTGGATGTGACACTGAGATAGTTACTGCCTCACATGGGGGTTCCCCCACTGCGGTTACTCACTGGTTTCACATCCAGAAGGATGGAGGACTTGGCAATAAGACCTGGTTTCTTGGCCTTCTTCTCCGCGTACTGCCGCAGTCTCTCCTCCCGCACTTTAGCAGCCTCTTGGTCTTCTTCTTCATCATCACTTCCAAAGAGGTCGATGTCATTATCATCATCTTCCTCTGTAGCAGCTGGTGCTGGTTTCTTTGCTGGTGAAGCAGATGGCAGCTCCACTTTCTTGGAGGGAACACTGAATGGTTCCACTTTCTTCAGTGGGGTGATGCACATTCAGGTTTGCATTAAGCAAAAAGAAGAAAATATTAAGCTGAAGTTGAACCAGAGACTCAAGAGAAGAACAGGAGCAGAATCTGACATGGCTCAAGACACTAAACATGGTCCACACCGTGTGATTTTGCGTGAAGGATCAGCTACTGGCCATCAGAATAGGACATGCAACCAGGTGGACCTTTGAACTGGCCCCGCATGGCCACAGTTGTTTTCCTGGAGTAAAACCAACACATAAGCAAGAGCTGATCCTCCTCCTAAGGGCTCAGGTATCTATACCATAAGGTAAGAGTGTGACAGCAGTTGGGAATGGGACCAAGTGCCTTCTAGCATGAGAAGGGGCCTACACGTTCTGTAGGCTTAGTGCAAAGACCACCAGCATCACCAGGAGCACATCTTGCAACCTAGAACAAGAAATGGTCAAACTGGTGCCACACATTCAGCTCCCACAGAGCTTTATCTTTAATTTAATTAAATACATTCTTATAGGGGACATTTGGGCTTGTTCAGCCGGAAGAAGGCGCCAGGGAGACCTTAGAGCAGCTCCAGTGCCTAAAGGGGCTCCAGGAAACCTGGAGAGGGGCTTTTGACAAGGGATGGAGGGACAGGACAAGGGGAATGGCTTTAACCTGCCAGAGGGGAGATTGAGATGAGCTCTGAGGCAGAAGCTCTTCCCTGTGAGGGTGCTGAGGCGCTGGCACAGGGTGCCCAGAGAAGCTGTGGCTGCCCCATCCCTGGCAGTGTTCAAGGCCAGGTTGGACACAGGGACTTGGAGCAACCTGCTCTAGTGGAAGGTGACCCTGCCCGTGGCAGGGCTGGAGCTGGAGGAGCTTTAAGGCTCCTTCCAACCCAACCCATTCCATGACTCTATGAACAGCACTTCGCTGAGGCTCACCTGGGTTGGAGGAACTGGTGAGGGCTGGTGGGAGGTAGATGACTTCTCCAGAGCATTCAGGCGGCTTTCCAGCTTGAAGATGGCCATCTGAAGGTCCGAAACAACTGCAAGAAGAAGAGGGGGAGAAAGAAACACCAAACCTTATCTTGTAGGCTCTGCATCAGCTCTCAAGTCAGGATAAACTTGCTTCTGCTAAAAGTGGGCTCTAAAAACCACCAGCTGCCCCAGTCAGAGAGAAACCTGCAAAGCTCTGAGCAAGACACTGGCAGGGGGTTGGAACTGGATGAACTTTAAGGTCCCTTCCAATCCAAACCAGTCTGGGATGTGCTCACCTGGTGACAGACAAGGCCAATGACCCAGACAAGGGATACACCCCACAGAAGCAGGACCCCATCTTGGCAGCAGATTCTCCTACTTACCACTACGTAGGTTTTGGTTTTCTACCTCCAGGTGAGAAATTCTGGATAGGAGATCATTTTGGTCACCAGAAGGCCCAGGAGAGGATGTGCTTGAACTCTGCAACAAGGAGAAGAGAGATGAAACCAATCTGTTCACCTACTCCTGAGCTCAGTGAAGCAAAGCAGAGTTATGCCTTCAGGAAAGGAGATGATTTGAGAGCTAATCTAAGAACAAGGATGTTTTCTCTAAAAGATTTATAAGAAAGAATTTACTATCTCTACAGCATGAAATGTATCTCAAGATATTCCAGTGGGAACTGATGAGCAAAGGATAAAGTCATTATTTACAGTCTCAGGTCACAGACTGACACTAAACAGAGTTTCACACCAAGGCCCTTGAATGAGGCAACTGGTCTCCTCTGACAAACTGAGGCATGAAGCACAGAGGTGACCCCCCTACCATCACCCAGCAAGTCACTGGGAAAGCTGGAAAGAGATCACAACATTCCTATACTCCCACCTCCCCAGTCCAGCCTTTTAATTCCTATCAAAACCTACTTTAACACATCCTGAGGGAGCAATTCCAGTGAGCCAGCTTTGAACGTATTTGGTTTAACAGTAAGAAAAAGCTTTTGTTTAAGGAGGCCTTTAACTACAAATTCATACTGGAAGAAGGAAAGAAGAGGAAAGGATTTCACACTTCATCATTTATCACTGAATAAAATAATAGAGAAAATCTTTTATACTCTTTTCAAGAGCAACCTGCATATAACTGTAACATGGTTCTTGGTTGCAGTTGATCAGCAGGCCAAGGGAGGGGATCCTGCCCCTCTGCTGTGCTCTGGGGAGACCCCCCTTGCAGCCCTGGGTGCAGTTCTGGGGTCCTCAACATCAGAAGGACATGGAGCTGTTGGAGCAAGTCCAGAGGAGGCCACGAGGATGAGCAGGGGCTGGAGCAGCTCCCGTATGAAGACAGGCTGAGAACATTGGGACTGTTCAGCCTGGAGAAGAGAAGCTGCTGGAGACCTCAGAGCAGCTTCCAGGGTCTGAAGTGGGGCTACAAGGATGCTGGGGAGGGACCTTCATCAGGGACTGGAGTGATAGGACAAAGGGTGATGGGTTCAAACTGAAACAGGAGATTTAGATTGGACACAAAGAAGAAATTCTTTACTGAGAGTGCTGAGGTGTGGAACAGGCTGCCCAAGGAAGTTGTCAATGCCCCATCCCTGGCAGTGTTCAAGGCTGGGTTGGACACAGGGGCTTGGAGCAACATGCTCTAGTGGAAGGTGTCCCTGCCCGTGGCAGGAGGTTGGAAGTGGATGATTTTAAGTCCTTTCCAACCCAAACCATTCCATGATTCTATGATTCTGAGACCTCAGCAGTCACTCAAGATGGAGAGAGGGAAAAACATGGGTTAAGATGAGGAATATGTGGCACCCAAAAAGCAGGTCTGGGAGATTCCTGGCCCTGGGAGACACAGGAAGCAGCGTGAGCTGCTCCTAATGGGAAGGCCAAAGAGACCCTTCTCCCAAAAAGGGGCATGGACCAGAGGTCAAAAGCACCATGAAACAACTCAATCTCCAAGACATCCTCTACAGTCCCCACACACCCAGCCGGAGCCCTCACTGTCCTGCTAGAAGATCTGGCTACACACAGCAGCTACAACCACATGCCAAAGACAAAGACTTCTCATGGTAAAGAAGAACTTGGTCCATCTCCCCAAGGAAGGACTGGCCTTGTCCTACAGTGTCCTCTCAGCTCACACAACAGCTCCCTCCGTGCACAGTGACTTACAGTTGAGCGGCCCGACTGCCTCTTGTGCCGGGCAGAAGGAGCTTCTTTGCTCCGAGGAACTGTCTTCTGCTGCAAAGGGCAAAAGGTTCAACACAGGAGAGAGAACAGGATTTCACTCAGGCTGCAAGAGGCAGCCCAAGTGCAGGAAGCGGAGCCACATGCAGGGAAAAGTCATCAAGCAACGAGATGCAGCCTCACAGCAAATACACACCAACCAAATCCTGCACAGACACATCCATCCACGAGCTCTGCCAGCTTAAAGGTCACACAGTTGGGTGGCAGAACTGGATTGAGATGTCTGGAGCATGGTCTCAGGCATCTGTAACATCAGAGGTGCAGCCTCAGCCAGTTCTCCTGTCATTTAGATGACATCTAACGCCTGGCTGATGCAGAACCACATGCAAAGTTGCCTTAAGTCCACACTCACCACTAATGCATCTCTTCCAGAGAGAAGTAAAGCAACACAACTCAAACTTGTTGACAAGCCTCTGTGGGCTTCCATCCTTGCATGCACCAGCAAGCTGAGGGGCTGGAAGCCACCATGGGCTCCTCACACAAGGCTAACCCTTCAACCTGAAGCTCAGATGAAGCCATTGCCTGATCTCTTCCTGTTCTAGTTCCACCACCCAGGCCAAGGGTTAAGATAATTCACTGAGAGGTGAGTTCTGGCAAGAGTCACATCCATCCCCAGCCCTTGAGAAGCACTTCTTGGTTTGACTTAAGGTCAAACACAGGAGCTGCCACCTGCAAAGAGATGCAGCTGGGTTCCTCTCCATAAGCAGTCGATTCATCAGGTAAGCAGAAAGTACAACAGATATTTGGCAGTTTGAAGCCCTAAGTCATGTTTTCAAGCCAAATGCTGAAGCATTTCAGCATTTTTATGCTTGTCCTGGCAATGTCTTATCCTGTACATGACCATGGAGCTGCTGGAGCCAGTTCAGAGGAGGCCCCGGAGCTCCTGCAAGGGCTGGAGCAGCTCTGCTCTGAAGCCAGGCTGAGAGCTGGGCTGGGGCAGCTGGAGAAGAGAAGCTGCTGGAGACCTCAGAGCAGCTCCCAGGGTCTGAAGGGGGCTCCAAGGATGCTGGAGAGGGACCTTCATCAGGGACTGGAGTGACAGGACAAGGGGTGATGGGTTCAAACTGAACCAGGGGAAGTTCAGGTTGGAGATAAGGCAGAAGCTGTTCCCTGTGAGGGTGCTGAGGCGCTGGCACAGGGTGCCCAGAGAAGCTGTGGCTGCCCCATCCCTGGCAGTGTTCAAGGCTGGGTTGGACACAGGGGCTTGGAGCAACCTGCTCTAGTGGAAGGTGTCCCTGCCCATGGCAGGGGTTGGAGCTGGATGAGCTTTAAGGTCCCTTCCAACACAAACCAGGCTGGGGTTCTATGATTTTATAAAGGTATGAGTGTTTCATGAGCAACCCGACATAGCAAAGGACAACTACAAGAGCTCTTCCAGACCTATTTCTAGCAGCTTAAAGAAAGTTGTCTGAACAACCACAGTTAAGAGCTCTTCCCTTGGTATGTCAGGCCCAACCAGTAGACAAAGCTGGAAACCGGCACTTCCCTCACTACAAGTAGTAGTGGAGGATACAAGTACAAGTATCTGGAGGTATCAAACGCCTTTGAATGGATAAAACCCCCTTTCCCTCAGAGGTTGGTTGACCTGAGCTCTGGAAACATGGAAAGTCTCACCACTGTCAGATAATGAACTAGAAGAGGGTTTTCCTCCATCTAAGACCAGCAAGATGCATCCTGGCTGGTTCCCTGCAGAAGGTGTGACCTGCTCACAGAATGTGGTCTCCAAACACTTTAGCAAGAGGTTTTCCAGAGCTTTTCTTGTTTGAAGCCCACAGGCAGGAGATGCAGGAAGCTTTGTTTAGAGGGAGCTTGAGAATAACAAAGCTTCAGACTCCCAGAGCAGTGACATCCTTTTGGTTCCAGCCTCCAGAGAGGGTGCAGGAAGTGAGAATTCAGTCCCCACTGGGTTGGACTTGCTCATGATCTCAGGCAAGTCCATCCTGTCCATGCCTCAGGTCCCCAGCTGTGAGATTCCTCATCACCTGCAGCTTCAATGCCACCAACACCAGCACTGAACATGTCAACAGCTTCTTAGAAAGCATTAGTGATGGAGTGGAAATCAACCAGAGACTGTTGAAAGCAGAGATGAACATGCAAAGCAGGATGAAAGGTATGTGCAAACAAATGTTTCCAGCATCAGAGCCTCAAAACCCTCCTTTGGGAGGTACAAACATTGCCTTAAACCTTCTAATGCTTATCCACATGCTTCAGAACATCACTTTCTATCTGAAGCAGATCTGAAACCAGCCTTGGTTAAACTTTACTGCACTAATCTTCCATCTTCCCATCTTGTAAGAGCCAACTACTCACTTACTACATCTTTTCGACTCTTGCACATTCAGGTGGAAGGAAAGACAATCCTGACCATAAAAACATGCCTCACTATTGCTCTGTAGATCACACAGTATGAATGTGTCTTCCTGAAACGTAAACCCAAAGTTTAAGCATGTTCTGGAGTCAAACCTGCTTTATGCCACCACTGTCCAAGGTTAATGATGACCCTCCAGAAACAGCAGCTACAAAAGCTGAGGTTTCAGACTTGTTTCTCAACAGCTCAGTCTTTGTAACCCACACACTGTAAATCACAAAGGGATTTACAGCTTCAGCTTCCAGGGAAGAGGTGTGGAAATACGTGGAAAAGCTGAAAAGGTGCCATATAAGCCAGGATAAAACCTAATCAATTAAATGGGATTACAGAATAGGAAGCAGGTCACTGTTCCCATGTGCTCTGCTTATCCCAGCAACTCCATACTTCAAGAGCAGAATGGGATCTATAGGTTAAAGATATTCCCCGTTACAGGACCTGCATGATCCCAACTTACATGCTACTCACAAAGAAAAGCAATTTAGCAGAAGGTAGAGGCCAGGGCAAGAAAATCCTCAAACCACAGACCATTCTGCAAGATGAGAATATGCCTCCAGGGCAGAGGAGCAGCACTGCTGGGTGATGTTCCTGTCTCTGCTCACCACATCCAGCTTTATTCCTGGAGGAGGCAGGACTTTCAAGTAAGAAGCAACCTCACCCAGCTGGAAAATGTCTTTCCAAGGGTATTTAACATTATCTGTGCAGAGCTCTTCAACCCTGTTTGGGATGGTGGCTTATTTCCTCATGTATTTGCCTAACTGAAGTCACAGCATCATAAAGTGGTTTGTGCTGGAGGGGACCTTAAAGCTCATCCAGCTCCAACCCCTGCCACGGGCAGGGACACCTTCCACTAGAGCAGGTTGCTCCAAGCCCCTGTGTCCAACCTGGCCTTGAACACTGCCAGGGATGGGGCAGCCACAGCTCCTCTGGGCACCCTGTGCCAGCGCCTCAGCACCCTCACAGGGAACAGCTTCTGCCTCAGAGCTCATCTCAATCTCCCTTCTGGCAGGTTCAAGTCATTCCCCTTGGCCTGTCCCTGCATCCCTTGTCCAAAGCCCCTCTCCAGGTTTCCTGGAGCCCCTTTCGCCACTGGAGCTGCTCTAAGTGGTCCCCAGAGAACAGCAGAGGCGCAGGATCCCCTCCCTGAGCTGCTGCTCATGCTCTGGGGGTGCACCCAGCACACAGCGGGGTTCTGGGCTCAAGCCGGGTCATGGGGAGCTTCTCCCCACCCAACACCTTCTCCTCAGGCTGCTCCATCCATCTCCCCCCCCAGCCTGTGTTTGTGCTTGGGGTTGCCCTGACCCATGTGCAGGAACTTGTGTTTGGCCATGTTCAACTCCATGAAGTTCACATGGTTCCACTTCTCAACCAAGGTCCATCAGGATCCCACCCTTTCCCTCCAGCATGTCAATTGTACCACACAGTTTGTCATCAGCACCATGAAACCAGTCCCCTGATAGTTTAAGGTATCTGCTTCCTCTTGAAAAACTAAGTTTCAACAGTGTTGTCTGTACATATCAACACAAAGCCACTTCTAGTCCAAGCTAAAAGTCTTTGACAGGGGCTGAGTCTCTACTTGAAGCCCAAACATGTTATTTCAGATCTGAACTTCAATGATCCACTTGAGGAAACCCCCCCCTAAGCTGTTGGCTGAAATACTGATGCTGAAATAAGAAACCACTGTTAGAAGTCTTCGAAGTATTTACCTCCTCAGCATGGTTTGCTTTGGCTTTAATATTACTAAGAAGTCCCAGCTTCCCACTGATTCCATGATGTACTCAAGGCCACTGAATGTAACCAAGACAAATTTCTTCCATAGATTTCCCTGCTCTTTCTGCATCCACTTCCAAGTTTCCTGTACCTGTATCTCTGATCACTTACATGAGCAGCTGCAGAAGTTACTTTTGCAGTATCAAGTTCTACAGGCACAGGGAGACCACCATGGGGAAAGCCTAAGTCCTTCATATTCACCCCAAATGTGTTGTCTTGAGGAATATGAAATATTCCCCTTCAGAAAGGTTCAGTTCCCCGTTTTTGTACTGATCTAGATAGAAACTGAGGGTCTTAAATACTCCAAGAGGGATTTATGAGACCAAATCAATACAGATGAGAAGATGGACACACTCAGATGGAACATGTGTGCAGGTTATGTAGCAATCCCCCTACAGAGGTAAGAAATCAAGACATGTGGGCTGCATCCTGTGAGTTTTCTTCACCCATAAAATCAGTCCAGATTTAAGATCTCAGCTTCCTACTGAAAAGTGCTGTCTGTAGGTATCAGCACAAAAAACCCTCCAAAAAGGATGCTACTGGGCTTCTACAGGATGGTCCAGACTTGGAGCCTGTAGCCAAGCTGAATTCCCTAGATGCAGCAGATGGAAGACAGCATTTCTTTGCACATACCCTAACTGAAAGCAAAACAGGAAAGAGAAGGTGCAGCCCAGTGTACCCCAGGAGAGCCACACATACTCTGCTGGCAGCTCAGTGCTTTGCTACTCAGCGAGGTTGTTGTACCAGCCACTTGTAACCTGTTAGCTAAGACTCGTGGGAACATTCCACCAGGATAGAAGGAAAAGAAATGCACAGAAATGAGTAATTTAACCCCAAATGCAGTTAGTTTTAAGCAGCACTGCAAGCTAGCAAGCAGGTAAGCAGCATGCACTCTAGTAGGAACTCTTGATGGGATGGAGCTATGCTGGTGGGTACACAGCACTGCACACCTCAAGTCTTTCCCCTTCTAAGTTCAAAAAGAAGCCACATAATCTATGAAGTGGTCACAGCAGAGCTCTGTGAGATGCACCACAGCTCCATATGGTTGCAGGTAGCCAGGTGGTGAGAGCTTTGGTACTCACTCCGGCCAGTGATTTCTGGATATTCTCCCTGGCTCTGGCAATGTCGCGGAGGATCGTGCTGGCTCCGTTCTCCTGCAAACAGTGCAGAAAGAACCAAGATTGCTTTTAAGAAAGAGAGGAAACAGCAAAAACTGGTCAGGGAAAGGAGAAATCAAAAGGGCAGGAAGCAGAGGATTGGGTCCTTCCAATGCTTCAGTAAATACTGCTAAACGAGCTGAAAGAAGGATTGGTTCTGAATCAATCCCTGGTCACATCAGGCCATGCGTCCACAGGATCGTCCAGTCAAGAGCTTTTAGGTTCTCTGTATGTTTCTGAATGCTTTGGGCAGCTGGGAGCCAGGTAGAGGGCTGGAATCACGCCAGTATTCCTTAGAGATCTATCATTAGACAGTCTGTTCTCATAGTATTACCTGTCATTGTATGCAGGCAAGAAGTGACAGTCCTAACTGAAGGCTTCTCTCCAGAAAGGTATGACCCAGAGTACAGCAGCACAAGTTTTCCCTCCCTCCGTGCTCCTGCTGCCATTCCTTAGCCTGGATTTGACGATTCCCTTCCTAGAGCACAAATTCACTTTCTGTGATCCATTCGCTCATTGCCTCTCCCAGAATACAACCCCCCAGGCAAGATCTGAGACATGAACTGCCCAAAACCCCATGTCAGATACACCACAGAAGAGCAAGAGACACACTGAGGTAGATTCCACTTCCAGGGTGCAGGAAGGTTTTAAGGAGTGTGGATCTTTTTCCTTAGGAGGGACATGGCTGATAAACTGCTGCAGAATCTCCACTAGAGCCTTCATGACACCTCTCACAGGCAGAACATCATCGGAAGCTCCTTACATGGCATGAAACAGTTTAAGTGTTCCTCTAGGAGCACTGCAGAGGTTCACACTTTAACACCTACCTCAGGAGCTCACCTATAGCTTCTCATTTTCATGCTGTGCCACCACTAGACCAGCAATGGGCAGCAG